TGTGCTTGCTTCTACCTTGTTTGGTAGGGAGTTTTTTTGTTTGTTTGTTTTTTTGGTATTTTTCTTTGTTTTTTTGTTTTTTCTTGTGCCTCTTTCGTTGTGTTGTTCTTTGTTTTTTTTTCTTATTCTTTTTCTTCTTGTGCCTCTTTCGTTGTCTTTTTCTTTGTTTTTTTCCTTTTTTTCCCCTTTTCTTCTTCTTTGCTTTCTTTTGTTTTTCTTTTCTTCTTCTCGTGCCCCATTCGTTTCCCTCGAGAAAAGTCGGGTTCTCGATGGTGGCTGCCGTGTGCTTGCTCTACCTTGTTTGGTAAGTGGGAGGTTGTTTTTGGTTTTGTTTTTCTTTTGGTATTTTTTTTTTGTTTTCTGTTTTTCCTTTTAGTTTTTTGCTTTATTTTTGTTTTTGTTTTCGTTTTTCTTCTTGTACCTATTTCTGTTTTTTTTTCGTTTTTTTTCTTTTTTCTTTTTTCCTTTGCTTCGTTTTCTTTTTTCTTTTTTTTTCTTCGTTTCCCACCAAAAATGTTACTCTACCTTGTTTAGTAAGTAGGAGGTTTGTCTTTTTCAGGCTCTTTTTTTCTTGGATTTCATATTCTTTTCTTTTTATTTTTCTTTTCTTGTTGCTTTTATTTCTTTTTCTTTTATTTCTGTTTTTTTCATTTTCTTTTCATTTTCGCCTTTTCCCTTTCTTTTCTGTTTGTATTTTTTTCTTCCTTTACTTTTTCTCTTACTTTTCCTATTTCTTCTTCGTTTTCTTCTTCCTTTTTCTTTTTGTTATTCTTTTCCATCGATTCTTGAAACTGATGTGTATATTTCTTAAATTGGAGTATATTTCTTTTATTCTTTTCTAGGGTGTTTAGTCTTTAAAGATATTCACACTTTGAGCGTCACACAAAGAGATACAAAATAATGAAAAAAAAGTTTAGATTGCTTCACATACCCTCATAACGAAAAAAAAGGATTCATAACTAAATTTGTTTTTCCTTTACATAAGCCCCACTTAAAAATACATTTACACAACCTCATACCAAAAAGACTTTAGAATTTATGACTATTTTTTCCTTTATTTAAGCCCATTTAACAATACCTTCGCATAACCTTATACCAAAGAGGCTTTAGAATTCATAACTAAACATTTTTTCCCCTTTATATAAGCCCACTTAATACTTTCACATAACCTCATATCAAAAAGGCTTTAGAATTCATGACTAAACATTTTTTCCCCTATATATAAGCCCACAATACTTTCACATAACCTCATCCAAGGCTTTAGAATTCATGACTAAACATTTTTTCCCCTATATATAAGCCCACTTAATACTTAACCTCATCAAAAGGCTTTTCGAAATTCATGACTAAACATTTTCCCTTATATCAGCACACAACAATACATTCACACAACGTCATACTTCACAACTATTTTTTTCCTTACTAAGCTCAATTAGCAATACCTCACACAACCTCTTACCGAAAATAGAATTCACAACTAAACATTTTTTTCCTTTACATAAGCCCCACTTAGCAGTACCTTCACCTCACCTCATACCAAAAAGGCTTAAGAATTCATAACTTTTATTTTCTTTGCATAAGCCCACTTAGCAATACCTTCACATAATCTCATATCAAAAAGGCTTTAGAATTCATGACTAAACATTTTTGTCCTTATATAAGCCCACTTAAAACAACCTCATACCAAAAGTGCTTTAGAATTCAAAACTATTTTTTTTCCTTTACATAAGCCCCACTTAGCAATACCTTCGCATAACCTTATACAAAGAGGCTAAGAATTCATTAATAACATTTAAAAAAAAGGCTTAAGAATTCATGCATAAACATTTTTTTTCTCCTTCACAGGGTCAGCTACATCGCATATCTCACTGGCTTCTGGGTGTATCCTATCCTTGAAACGTTACCCATGGCAGGACGAGCAATTTTCATCGGCATGTGTAGTCTCCTGTGTAGTTTTATGTACGTTGTAGGAGAATCGTTAAACAACAAGTACTGGGGTAAGTTTTATTTTGTTATAGGAACAGGGAATGGTATATATTCGGGTGTGTGGGGTGCGGCGTATGGGTATTCAAATATTTTTTTCTCTCTGGTTTTGAGTTTTATGAAATTAATATTGTTTTGATTATTATCAATATTGTGCGTGCAATTGATATTATTGTTATCAGTATTATGCTTTTATTTTTCATTGGCTATAATGGTATCATAGAGTTTAATTGATTAGGAAAAAATAACACGTTTTCTCTCTGTTTTTAGGTACTCCCACGAAGAAGAAGGAATAACAGCCAAATACGAATAATATTACTTGATGAAAGCGCACTCAGGGAACACGAAGCCGCTCTCCATATGTCTTTTGTTTGTAAACGTTTGGCGGTTATCTTTTGTTTCTAAACGTTTGGTGGCTGTTTTCTTTTAAACGTTTGGCCATTTGTGTTAATGTAGTGTTGGAGTGCATTTCATTGTATTGTATTTTGAGTAAGACGGGTTTTGCTAATGCTTATTTTATTGTTTTTTTTGCAAGAAGGATTTTTTTTTTGTAAGTTTACACGAGTTAATAGAAAATATTGGCTATGGAATGCCCCTCCCCCCCCTTCATTTTATTTTCCTCTTTTTCTATATGTTAATTTTCTATTGTAATTATAGATCTTATGAATGACATATGGCGACTAAACTAGTCCTAATTTCGGAATTCTGCATATGGTGATGATTGGCAACTTTGTAACACTCATTTCGTGTTATAGATAATTGATACGACAGACGAATAACTATTGTTCTTGTATCGATGTTGGAGAAGGCTTTGTATTAGAAATAAAGCATTTTTCTTTTGATTACACTTATTTTCTAAACGCTGTGCTTTGTACTGAATGTAATATTATTGTTTAACGTGACACATACACACGTACAGAATGTAACATTATTATTTCACGTGACATATTATTTCACGTGACACACACACACACACACACACACACACACACACACACACACACAACACACACACACACACACACAACACACACACACACACACACACACACACACACACGTAAAACATGAATTAATTATACCACGCTACAAGATTTAACACTACTTCTATGCAAATAAACACTAAACTAACAAGCAGGTTTCACACTAATTTATTTCACTGCCCTTACTAGGCTCTAAGAAACGGTAACTAAGCAGACCAGCTACACATCTATAAAAAAAACCCTCAAATTATCCAAGATTCACACAGATAATAACGAAACTACATATATGAAAAGTATCTCACTAACTAGGATACATATCTAAGGAAACAAATGCAAAAACATAAATTGTTAGTAAATATATATAACACTGTTGTCCAAACTTTTACGCCTTTGATATCTCCTACTACCTTTCACGTACTCCTATGACAGATTAAAACAATTGCTTATTTGGGGAAACATGATTATGATGCGCATGATATGAATGCTTTCCAAGAGCCTCTTTTTGTGCACTAAAAATGTCGAAATATATAATTTAAAATCTTGTAATTGTCAGTAAGCCAATATCCCCTTTTTTCTTTTTTCATTAATTTTAATCATTGATATGTTTCTTTTGTCATCCGCGTAATTTGAAAAAAAATGTGGAAATGTTGAAGTTATTGTTGTGTACATTCATACATTTAATGTGACTGAATGTGTGTGTGTAGGCCTACAAGAAGTGGAACATAGTCCTACCCCTAGCCACTTGACATAAAGACTATACCCTATGGCACGCGGTCCCCAGGTTAAATAACACTAGTGCAGTAAAGGAATAGAGAAAGAAAGAGAAAACGAAACAAAAGAGAAGAAAGAGAACAGAAAAGAAGAAAGAAAGAAAAACAACAAGAAAGAGAAAAAAGGAAAAAAACAACAGTAGCAAAGACAGTATTGTTCACAGTACTGTAGAAGCAGTGATGGTACATGCAAGAATTTTATTATGAACGTAAATGGGGGCGGAGATATCATAATGAAGTTAAAATCACTCTTTATTCACCTTCCAACTCCTCCTCTGCTTCCGAGACACCGCTACCACCATTATAAACATTAATACAGGAAAAAAGAAACATATTATAACGAAATAGGATATATATTTGCCGAAAATGTATTCACTTTGAGTCCTAGTTGAAGAAAAAAGACACAGCATCACGTTTCAAAATCTTTCGCTGCCTTTCTGTTCTGCTGTGGGTCTCTCAAAAAGAAAATCTCTTGCAGAAAATGTAGGTCGTGGTCTGGTTTCCACTCGGTGTCATGGCGGCTCACTTTCCCCTTATTATTGGCCTGTCATCATCAGGAAAGCTGAAGCTGAGATGCTTTCAAGGGACACGTTCAGCTGATTCACACATTTTCTTTTCTGGTAGTCAATTGAACGGAAGTCAATTACATGCCGAAAATTTTGAATCTGCATAAAAAATGAAACAGCGTTTCATTGATATTTTCCTATAAACTGCAATTTAATGTGAGAGTGGAATAATTGTGAGCTTAGAACGCATACAACACACACACACACACACACAACACACACATATATATGTTTACACACACACACACACACACACAACACGCACACGCACACGCACACGCACACGCACACACACACACACACTACACACGCGCACACCACAGCACACACACACACACACACACACACACACACACACACACACACACACATACACACACACACACACACACACACACACACACACACACACACACACACATATACATATATATATATATATATATATATATATATATATATATATATATATATATATATATATATATATATATATATATATTATATATATAAGGGAAAACTACTTACAACGGGCGTTTGTTAAAATTGTTCGAGGCCAATCAAAATTCATATAAACGGACATGGTTAAACACAGAAATTAATGCAGATCTGTCTCTCTGTCTGATAGATATACATTTATCTATCTATCTATTCGGTAGATATACATGGCTAGACGGACAGATATGTATCTATTTCTGTGTACATGCAAGTCTGTAAAATGAATATTCATGGGGTCGGGCCTCGCACAATCTTAATAAACCGGCCGTTAGTGTGTTAAATAAACTAGTGAATATATCAGAATGTATCACATTAGTGTTTTTATTACTGCATTATTGTAATCCTCGTATTACAAGGCCTCTTGTCAAACAATTTTCAACGAAAGTAAGTTTGGCCACGTTTCCCGTTTGACTCCATATTACATACCTGTTCCTGCATGAAGAGAAACCATGGACCATGTGTTTAGTAGTCTTCATTGAGATTGTGGCCTCTCTCTGTGTGAGTGAGGAACTTCAGTGTACCAAGAAACACATCATGAACTAGGAGCCGATTTGTTAACAAGGTATTTTCTGTGTGGGATGAGCGTCAATTTTTTAAACAAATGAAGGACAATAGAAAATGTGACGAATTCAATCTTGACATTTCTAGCATTGTTCGGTTTTACCTTATACCTCCTGATCCTGATGTATATACCACAACAAAGGTAATGAAAATATACTTGAGATTATGTGACACAAGTGTGTTGGCCATATATTTCAATAGTTATCCTTGTTTACAGTTTGAGTTTTCTTTGGTTTTAAAACAAGAGTTTTAAAGAAAACGTAATTTTAGTGGGGAGGCTTCTTTATTTTATGAATTCATCGATCAGTGCCTTCATTTTACTCCATTCTGCTAAAGGTGATGATAATTTTCAGAATCAAAAATTTTCCTACATAAATATAATACTGTTTTGCCTTGCGCTTCAGTGGAAGATTTTTATAGAATGATTGTTGTGTGAGTAAAGAAAATAACCACCTAATGCAACTCGAAAATCGAACTCTCTGTTCAATAAAGCAGAGATATCTTAATAAAATATGAAGTACGGTACTTCAGTTGATTCAAGAAATATAGAATTCTTATTAGATTATTTCCAAACTTAATCCATGAAGTGCTAGCATTCACTAAAATACCACACATTATGTGAAAAGTAATTGAACATTTCCCTAGCTCATACGTCGATAATAGTTTTAAATATTTAGTTACTAAATCAGACTTAACAAACTTATACGTTGACGGACATTTTAAGAAAAAAATCAATTAAAATCTTGGTTGTATTGGAAATAAATCAAACAAATAGTTACCTGATTGTGTTTTAGTTATTTTCACGGCTTTCGGTGATCAACAAAGCATACCAAAAAACCTCATTCTTAACAATTTTTAGCTAAATTATACCCATGTGACATACTCATAGTTACGATATCTGCCCGTATACTATGCACTCACAGTAGGGTTATATCTCGTCTGCCGTAGTAAATGAGTTTCTCTTATCTACTTATTTATATCTAGGTGAAAATGCACTAGAGATGTAGGTGACTGGACGAGTGGAATGTGCCTTCCTTAGTGCTTTCCTTAAACTTATTTTCTGAAAGGGATTGTTATTGAGATTATGATTTATATAGTGATAATCATTATAGTTATTTTTATCATTATTGTTGCTGTAATTATTATTTTTATCATTGTTATTATCGTTATTATTATTATTATTATTATTATTATTATTATTATTATTATTATTATTATTATTATTATTATTATTATTATTATTATTTATTATTAATCATTATCATTATTCATTATCATTATCATTATATCATTATTATCATTATCATTATCATTTATTATCATTATCATTATATATCATTATCATTATCATTTCATTATCATTATATTATTTATTATTTATTATTTTATTATTATTATTATTATTATTATTATCATTATCATTAGTAGTAGTAGTAGCAGCAGTAGCATTAATAATGATAATTCTATTTTATGATTATTTTTGTTTTTATTATTATTATTTGTGCTGTTATTATCACTTATTGCTATCATAATGATTATTATTATTGTCATTACTATCATTTTATGATATTTTCATTACTAGCATTATTACTCATATCTCATCATTATTTCCTTATTATTATCATCATCATCATCATTGTTATTATTATCAATGTCATTATTATTATTTTACTACTATTATCATTATCGTCATTATTGTAATATTTTCATTACTCTCATTATTACTGTTACACTATATCCTTATAATTATGAATTTATTATCACTTGTTATCATCATCATTATCATTATTTATCATATTATCATTACTATCACCATTTTTCATAATCAGCACCTTCATTAGATTATCATTATTGTCATTATCATTTATTATTTTATTTATTATCATTATTATTATTTTTTTATTATCATTATTATCATTATTATATTATCATCATCATTGTTTTATTGCTATATTGTTATCGTTATCATCATCTTATCACTGTTATTGTTATTACTATCATGATTATTCTTGTATCACCACTATCTTCATCATTGTTATTACCATTGTTATTATTATTATCACTGTTATTATCATTATTGTTTGTTATCTTTATCATTATCATTATTAATATCAATATTATCATCGTTTAATTTATTAT